AAATTTATTTTGTTGGTGTTACCGAGAATATACACCAGTTCAGCCATTTCTCCATGTACAATTCAGTGACATTGATTACAGTTTTCAAGTTGTGCAACCATTCTCATCCTCCCTTTCTGAATTGTTCTTCCCTATCAACATAAACTCACTGCCCCTAAGTTTCCTGTCTCATCTTTTGAGTTGCTGTTGTCAACTTGAGTAATTCAGAATGATAACTAGAAGGGGAAAGATTATGGGTCAAAGCCCTTGAATGAGAGACTCAGAAGAGGTAAAGTGAGCCTTTCCAGAACTTTGATGTATGAGATTGGCAGGACTGTGGACAACACGTATTCAAAGCAGTGCAGTCAGTTTTCATCTTTGAGTGAGGCAGTCCTACTGAAAATCCCACAGGCAAGAGACTTGGTTGCTATGCAACACATAGGCAATTTGATCCCATATAGATAGTTCCTAAAAGAGCACAATGCTCAAGCAGACATTCTTGACTAAGTTAACCTAAACTGTTATTTGGTTTTAAGAAGGCTTCACGGGATAAAGATTATCTCACGGTAATGGTTTCAGGTGTTTATACAACCTCCATGGCTCCAGAAAGTCTGGATTCCATGGGAATTTGAAAATCTGTTCTGTATTTTCTACCTTTTGATCAGGATTAGACTATAGAATCTTTGATCAAAATGTTCAGTAATGGTAGCTGGGCATCTTCCAATTTTTCTGGTCTTGTAGAGGAGGCAGTTGTTCATGGAGGCAATTAGCTATAATTTCATTTTCTCCTCCTCTTCCTGACTCCTTCTCCCTCTGTTGCTCCAAGCAAATAGAGACCATCTCTTGTACTTTGGATGGCCACTTGCAAGCTTTTAAGACCCTGGACGCTACACAATGAAGAGGTAAAACAGAAGCACTTAAAACAGTTATTAGGCAAATTAATTGGGATGTCCTATGAAGCCACTCCTCGGAAGGAAGATGGGTCAATCTACTTCCGTAGTGATATACTGCCTCAGAAACCCAAGGAGTGGTCGCTACGAGTCGGGTCTGTCTCGATGGCACATAACAACAACAACATGAAACTATAACCCTAAACCTCCTAACCGAAGAACCAAATCCCGTGAGGTATTTGGTTGTACATAAGCAACTGCTCTTTTTTGTTGTTGTAATGTATTTATCACAGAACTTTTGCCAATTCAATTTTTTACAGAGGTACAACTTGTTGACAGCAATTACGTTAATCAGCTGTGCAACCTTAGCTTTAATCAATATGCCGTTGTCTTTTTATTGTTAGAGAAAGGACTGACATTATTTGGTGGGTTTGTCAGTTACAAACTGGAAAGTAGACATATAGGTCTGATATATTATTTAGTACAGTCAAAGAATATGAATAGAATTAAGGTTATTTTATCCAAGAAGATATAATATAAAAACTAACATTTATTGCCTACATTTTTAGAGTCTTTTCTTCTTTATTGCTTATAAGAGTGCTATAAAGTAAGCACTATTACCATGGATGAGAAGTCTAAGTTTTAGGCAACAGCACACAGTTTTAAGTGGTGGGGTCAATATTCATACTCAGGTCTGTCTGTCTCTAGCAGCAGGGCTCCTCAACATTAAAACCAAACCAATTGCAACTAATGTTATAAAATACAATGTGTATCAGTTGTTGAATATAAAACTAATTTACTCTGTAAACTTTCACCTACACCGCAATTTTAAAAAAATGCCAAGCCAGTTGCCATCAAGTATACCATGATGACCCCCTGTGTCAGAATAGAACTGTACTCCATGGGGTTTTCAGTGGCTGATTTTTTTTTTAAATTGTGATTTGGGTGAAAATTTACAGAGCCATTTCAGTTTCCATACAGCAGTTCGCATACACTTTGTCTCATGACACTGACTACAATTTACTCCAGTGCAACAGCTCCCCTCCCACTTCCTCCCCATAGTTACCTCTTCCCAGTGTCCATCCCTGTATGCACTCCTGCCCCCTGAGCTGTCTCCCTGTGCATAAGCAGCCCTTCTTTCTCCCATGATTGTTCTCTCCAAGGAGTGTATCTACTT